ACATGTGAGATATATCAATAATATGCAATGCTCCCCCTGTAATTATGCATGTTTTAATCTCAAGTCACATATGCACAATGCAGTACAATCAGAGTATATATCAGAGCATATATCAAAGCATGTAATAGCATATTCCAGCATTGTATCGGAGCACATGTTTAGCAGTATAAATAGAGCATAGTAGATACAATTTCAATCATCAAACATAGTTTAATCTCTTATCATCTCAGGACATAGATACATCGGATAAGCATATAGATATAAGCAGAATAAACATTCAATCAGAATATAAAACAAGGTTGACACTCAATCAGAATATAAGCATACAAATATTTCAAGTTTGGAAACTTCAAACCAATGTCGAAACTCAATCGATTTGATCAGAGTCATAATCAACTTCTTGCTGTAACACTTTGTTGATTTCTCAGATTCACACGGTCAGCAAGCAATGTTCCTGCAAAACCTTTCTTGGTCTTTCTAGATCAAGCATTTTAGAATCAATGTATTACAGGAATTATCACATGTAATGTATGAGTATGCAAAGATATGATTTGAGGTGATTTGCGGAAGGAATAATTTTTTCATCATCCACTAACACTAGTGCACTAAAAGGAAATGACACCGGTTATTTTCGTCTATACGCAGCGGTTCATGAACCGAGGTATATACAGGCGAGGTAAAAAGAGGTAGCCTTTTTGCCTCGGTTCAGAACCGAGGTAGTATGTGGGGCTCTTTTACCTCGATTGGATTCGAACCGAGGCGGTAGATGCTTTTTTTTATAAAAAAAATGGGGACTTTTGGCTATTCAGAAAAAGGCCGATTGACGGTGAAGTCGCCCTAGTAGGTGTCGGGGATGACGATGGGGAGGGAAATCTGCTACGGTAGGAGGCATGGAGGTGGAGTGCATGTTAGTAGACACCGATGCGGGAGTTAGGGTTGCGGGCGGATAGGGTGACCTGCGTGGTGAGAGAGAGTGTTGAGGATGGGGAAAGAGAGGTTGAAGGTGAAGAGGGTGACGTCTTGGAGGGTGAAGCGGAGCTTGTTAGCGCGGAGGATGACCCATATGAAGGCAACGACGCCGATGAGGATGAAGCGGAGGAGACGATGACCAATGGTGGAGGCAACAACGATGACCAGTGGTGGAGGCAACGGTGGCGAAGCGACAAACCATTCGGGCAAGATTGGAAGCAAGAGTTTGCGTTCTCTGGCGGAAGAAGAAGAAGAAGAAAGACCGAAAATGTGCTTACTATGTTTACGCTTCTGAAATTTAACTATCAAAGAGGTTATTACCTCGGTTATACAAATAACCGATGCATAAACCTTCCAGAAAAAATTCAAAATAAAATTAAAAATGAAAATTTTGAAAATATCTACTAACTATAGGCCTCGGTTCGCGCCTAAACCGAGGCATAAAGGGCCTATGACATCGGTTAAAATGGAACCGAGGTAATAAAGGTTGACAAGATGGATTTGAAACGTTTAGAATCAGTTTCTGGCTGGACATATTGCCTCGGTTGGTCAGAGAACCGAGGCAGTGGACCTATTTCGAAAAAGCTGTCTGAGTTTTTTTGCCTCGGCTGGTCAGAGAACCAAGGCAGTAGACCTTTTTCAAAAAAGTTGTCAGGTGAAAAGTCTGATTCAGCAGGGTTTTTGGCCTCGGTTGGTCAGAGAACCGAGGCAGTATACTCCTTAAGCATCAGTTCAAATTGAGTCGAGGCATATAGTGTCGCCAGAATTACAAAATTGCCACCGCTTTTTTATACGCTTCGGTTTTTTTAAAACCGATGCGTAACGCGCGAGTTAAAAAGTCGTTTATTTACTAGTGTAATGTGCTAAGATTTGGAGGGATTGTGTTTAGAAAGTTATATTTGTCCTTAACTTAACTTATAATACCACGTCCAAATATCACGTGTAAATAACATATTTGATTCTAATTCAAAAATAATCAATTCCAAAGTGCTTGAACATGAAGAAATGAAGATGAGTGGTTGAAGATGAAGAAGAACAGAGGCATATTTGATTACATAACATCTATATTCGGTTCCAACAACAGAGGCATATTTGATTACACAGCATCTATATTCGGTTCCAACGATACAAACAAATACAAAGGTACCTGTATTCGGTTATCTGTGTTTGTATTCAGTTCTCTAGAGTAAAAACATGATGTATTCAATTCTATTTTTTCTGTATTCCATTCACTTAGAGTTTGGCTTCACGTTACATGTTGTATTTCGTTCTAGAGTGGTATGTATTTGGTTCTCGTAGAGCACATTTGGGTTGCAAACTTGGTGGAGGCGCCATCATCTGTGACGAAGTTGGAGGATGCAGTTTCGGTTGCATTATTTGTAAGCATTATTACCTTGTGTTTTAAAACTATCCTCAATTCAATTTTTTGAATAATTTTTTACTGACCTTTCTAGGTTTGAGAGAGCGTGGGATTCTCACCGGAGCACTTTACCGGTGACTGGTACTCCATGCCGAAACTCCACCTGCGTGATCACCGATTCAAGGTCCCTCTCGATCACTCTCGAGGACCCCATTCTTCTCCATTGAAGGGATCAGGCTATGGATAACTAATGAATTCATACATTCTACACTTCATGATGATGGGAATAAATTATTGATAATTTATTGGGAATGCTAAATGGAAAGAAACCTCTATTTTGATCATCGTTACCATTACAAGCATGTTTGAAAACCTCTTAAGAAATAAAAATGGAGACAAGGATGTGAAAGTTATAATTATTAGCTTCTTCATAAATTTGAAAAACCGCATATAATATAGAATCAATGATTCTATACATCTTTTCTTTGCCTCTTACTTTGTTGTATGCTTTTAGCTCCTTGTTCTTTGAACTTTTAACTTATATTTTGTTTTAAGATGGTAAATTATATTAAAAAATTATTATATTTTAAAAATAATTATTTCAATTTATAAAATACTCATTTTTTACATTTTAAAAATTATATTTTATTTTTTTCTCCTTTTAAATATTTTTATATTTATATATAACATTAACAATTATCAATTTATATTACTTTTATAATTAGAGACATTTTAGAAATCTTTAATTTCTATCAATTAAATAATTTTTTTTATCTCTTACATAAATCAAATCCTACACCAATTCTTACAAGTTTTTCTTCCAAATTCACTCTCACTTACCTCCAAATCTACTTAAATAAACAACAAAAAATTTACCTTCAAATCTCCTCAAATCTATCCACCCAAATCATGTCCTCCAAGGGAACAAAGCCTTAATTAGCCAATAAAATGATGTTTTCAGTTCGGATGGGGTTAGACAGATCTTTTCAGCACTCTAAGATGGTCTTTTTAGCTCGGATACATCCAGACCGGTTAAGTGATGAACAAGTAACATAACACATTATTCAGAGACTGAGGGCTCGAAATCGGGTTCATACTCAGATTCAGGTATGCCATACATCATTGTCTAATACTGACAATGGGAATCTTATTATTAAGGGCTCATCATTTATCTACTCCTCGGATAAAAGCTGAGGCTTAGTCATATAAAAAATTTAACCTTGTTATTACGAGAATGTTTATTTGATGTATGCATCGAGGGCTCATCATTTATATACTCCTCGAATAAAAGTTGAGGTTAGTCATACAAAAATAATTTAACCTTGTTATTCTGAGATTTTGAGACATCGCCATCACACCCTCTAAACATAAAGGCTCTAATTGTTCCAGCATAAGGCAGTCTTTTTGCTCGGTTGGGTCAAGATCTTCCAATTGCTAAGGACTCAGGAGACAAGGGTGTTGTGTCCAATATAAGGGAAACCCATATAAGAGGCCATGATTATGCTCAGAGCTAGAATCTTTAGAAACACACCCTTAAACCCTTTTTAAGAAGATTGAAATAAAGATAAGAGACCCACATTTGCTTAGTAGGAGTTTTGAGATTGAAAAAAATAAAGGAAGATATTGGAGTTAGGAGTAGTACCGAAATGTGAACATAAGATATGGAAAGCTCGGACAAAGGCCCAACTATTAGGACGTAATTGAGCTGAGGACACGTTTAGCACCGTAAATAATTCTTTTTCAAACACAGTGGCATAGGTAAAGGTAAACCTATGAAGAGTTGGGATGGAGTCGTCTCTATGATAGAGCTCGACTATCTCAGAGGGACCGACTAAGACATGTTTTTCATCACTCTTACACAGAGCTTGTTTGTGCCTAAAGGCTTTGATTTTCTTCTCGGTGTAAAGGGCTGTGGATTCTCATTTTAAGGTTCATTTTAGCCAAAGGATAGAAGGAATCGTACAAGGTCATTATGTAAACAAAGAGATCGGAAACCTACCTAGTAGTTCTGGGCTTCAATAGGACATTTGTAAATCTGAAACAGAAAACCCAGGAGAATAGGACATGTGTAACGGTTACCACTGAAAGTTTAATGTCAGCCCTTTGATTAAAACCTGAGAGCTCATCAGAGACCTTACACGTGAAAAGTTATGATAGGTTAATGATGATCCTAGGGAAACGCAATATGAAGGACGGTTAATGGACAATCTCTTGTCTCACAAGTTGGCGACTCTAGGTTGGAGGACTGCAGAGTCCAAAATTGACCGACCTCATAATAGATGAGTTTCATTAAAGACTGATCACATGCTGAGCTGATCTTCTAGAATGGGCATAGAGGCCACAAAATGACGTGAAGAAGCAGTTGATTAAAATAGAGGATTCAAGCGAGATACCAGCAAATCTGTTGTTATCTTAATTTTAAAGTTTACCTTTGTAATCATTTAGGAGGTTTATTTGTCGAAATCTTGTAATCTTTATTTTGGTTGATATATTTTGTAACTGAATATTCTCCTATTATGAAAAAAGAGACATCAAAAGAAAACCACTTTAAAAAATGATAGATATGTAAAGTAAAATTGAGGGAGTAGTTTTTGAGAGAAATCACGTCCCCCTATTAAATACGAGAAAGAGACATTAGTTGTGCAGCATGGATGAAATGGAAGTGGGTATTCAAACAAAACCCCGTACTAGACAATTAAATAGGTGTCCTCCCCCTTCCTCCTTATAACAAAAAAGAAAGGAAGCGATGCTTATTCAGAGTTACCACACAGACCAAAAATACAAAAAATCAAGGTGTTACTAACCACCTTCCACTCCTTGTCTCACTAGTTTACAACCATAAAACACAAACTTTTGCGTATATATATAGGTCATTGAGTTTTGGGGGAAATTTCTCAAGACAAACAATAACAAAATATATAGACATACAAAAGAACCTCCTATAATTTTATAACTAATGCATGAACGACTTTTGTAAAATAATTTCAGAGTAAAAAGAAGGGAGAAAAAATGTAACTGTAAGATTTTATGAGAGTGAATTGTTTTGGTCTTTGTCTTGCCCACTGTTATCTTCGTGACTGCTATCCTGCTCATGAATAACTGAAGCCGTACCGCAATCCTCATTTTGTCTTCCCTCACTCTCGTTGGTTGTCTGTGCCTGCACATTTGAAGCTGAATTTGTTTGCTGCTCTGATATCAAACTAGTAAGGCCATTTTGCTTCAGGTAGGTCTCCAACGGCAGATTTGCTTCTTCAAGAAGACTTGTCATGCTCACATTATTTGGCCCAGTTTGCGCTTCTTCTCGATCTGGTTGGCAATTCAAATCTAATTGTCCCTTGGCAGCTTCAGCAACTTGGTCTTGAGTCCTTGGGTCCAACTCACTTGACGCCCTTACTTCATTCTCCAAACCATCAACTGGAGTTAAATGTCGTGAGGTGCTGTCTACTTCTGATTCGTCCTTGGTCCGCCATGTTAACTGATTTCTCTGGGCAATCTCAGCTTCACGTTCTGATTGACGCTTCTTCTTTCTCATCATCAGGGTTTTAAACCGTCGTTTAACTGTCATGCACACATTGCACGTGCAAGTAGGTTTGTGTTTTCCCTTTCCACTTGGTGGCTGGATACAGACAATGCAAGAACACCCAGGTCTATGCCGGGGATGTTTTGTGGTGGTAACCACTGGTGTCCTGCCAGAATCACTTGCATCATCTCCAAGTATTGCTGCATTTGCCAAAGCATCCAGTCCTGAAGATTCATGGTCCAGGGCTGGTCTCTGGCTTGCTGCCAATCTTTGTTTCTTGAATTCTGTTCCAGAATAAATAATTTAAGTATATTTGATATCATCAAGAATTTGTTGACAGGAAAAATATGCTAGCATGTATTCATAATAGTCACAAAATTACTATCCGAGTTCATACAGCACAACTTGGGATTACAAATTTGTCCGTTTCTAGGACGAAGATAATTTAACTAAAAAGAGCAAGCATAAAAGACAAATAGTTTGATGGAACCGGTTAATACAAATTAAAGACATTATGATAATCCTTGGTATGGTTGTAAGTTAGGATTGGTATGCCAACCATTGAAAAGTACAAAAAACAAAATGCACGAAAATTCAATACTTCAATACTCTTAAACATTGTGTTCATGTTTTAATTTTGAAGTTAATCTTAATTGCAAGACAAATTGTGGAGATCTTCAAATATCCCATGTCTTCTATGCTCAACGCCTATTGTCTTCTATTCCCATTCTAAAATTCCTTTCCAGATAGCTTTAAATTGATTATGCAGATAGCCGTGTGCCTTCAATAACTTAGTATGGATGAGTTATAGCTAGGAATAAAAATAATGGCTTATTAGAGACACTTTTCAATTATAAACCACACATCAGCAGCAGCACCTAATCAGATCCCAATTTCAATGGGAAAACCTCTTCTTGAGAGACCCAATCTATTTAACCAAAATACTATTCACAAAAGTCATTAATTTATATTAAACCACAAATACAAGTTTGTGGATAAAAGAGGTCTAAGTAATGTCCTTGGAAGTCTTCAGGTATATATTTCAGTACAATTAGAAAACATGAAAAGGAAAATACTGCTAGAAAAGCATTGCTTCATACTGCAAAATTTTGCACAAGAAACCATTTCTAGTAGTATGTATTGGTCAGCAGTAACTAGGAAGCACAAAAAACACAACGAATGGATAAATACCTTTATTCAACCTCAGAAGATTATCCAGTTCCCTTGGGTTCAATTCATTGGGAGCAGCACATGAAGACCTGTTGAAAGCAATGCAAAAGCATCGTCTTATGTAATAAGTATAGGTATTAATATCCTAGCAGTATTGCACTATAAGGTCTTCTGCTCACCTGCTCTGATCCCATAAATTCTCCACACATGTCCACTTAGGGGGAATTAGTACATCAACTGGCAACTTCCGCCATTTTGAGCAACTATCACACTGCGTCCACTGCTCATTCACCCTAAGTTCAATCACACTCCAAATTGAAATACTCGATAAAAAAAAAATACAAGTTTATGCATTGGCATAACTTATAAGAGAAATCGTTATGTTCCATAGAAAGAGAAAAAGAAAATAAGAAGATGAGAGGGATGGTAAGAGAAGAAAAACCTGACAAATGCAAATAAAATAGAAAAAAACTCTATACACATAGTCATCTTACCCAGCTGATCGAACTACGAATATACTCCTCTTTCCAAAGACAGGAGGTTCCTGCATCAATTGAAAAGCAATATCTTAAACAGGTTACATGCAAAAATTTAAAGTCATTTAATAAGTATACCAATTAAGATACTAGTGAATCTGAGACGCTAAACCTAATAATTGATTAGTATCATGACAATTAATACAAGAAAAGTCAATTTTCCTAATAGTAGAGTGTTAAAGAGTGACCGTAGGAAACAAAAACAAAAACACATTCAATTAAAAGAAATTACTTATTATGTTAAAGATAGAAAAAAAAAATTGCAGTTACTATTTTAACTAATTGAAAGCATTTAATAAAGTATATTAAAGCTTCCTAGTTACCGTCCTCAAGACACTTATCAGCAAATTGAAAAATATTAGTTAATCGCTGACCCAATCTGAGGTTTGAGAAACTTATGCCTTCATCCCTCTTGTTGGCCATCCCCTACCCATTTACTAGTATTTTTCCTATGCATATACATTCCCTAAAAGAAAATACTTTATATAACCTGAAACTATAGACGCATTTTAACAAGTACAAACTAGCCTGCTATTTAAACAAATTCCGGCCGGAAATTGCAAATAGGAGAGGTCAACTACTGACGTATGCTAAACTACCCATATTTGAGAGCGTTTAGAAATCACATTTTCTTCTTTAGATTTAGACTCACCTGGAGAGAAAAAGCATAGGATAAGATGAATGCATTAAGAAACTCATTACAATGAAAGGCTCATACACTTTAATTTGAGTTAAAATTGGTGCTGAGTTAACATAGCAGAGACAATAATTTAACCTCCCACGCACACTATTGAATGGGTGAATTTCATAAAAGTGAAAGCTTCTTCAAATTGTTTACTTACTTCATACTCTTCAAAAACCTGATCCTCAATCATGACAATGCTTGGTTTAACAGCAGGAGGTGGTCGAAGCAAATCCTGAGCCTCTTCCCAAGTAAGTTTTAGCTCGAGTGCATCCTGGCTATCAATAAGCAACCTCTTACTTTTTGACCCAATATTCCGAGTTCTTTTCTTCTCAGGAACCAGCACAGGTGGCAAAGGCAACCCCTCTCTTTTCCTGCTTTCGGGAATGTCAATGTTATGCCAGTTCATGTCACCACCAGCAGAGTTCCATTTTTTAGACAGCACATTTAGGTGGGTTTCTGAACATCCCTTTTGTGACTGAAGAAGGCCAGAGTAACCACTTAATATAGGTAGATTCTCATAAACACCAGAATAGGAAGTTTCACTTGAATGAGAACCATTGGGCATATTAGATGGTAGTGTTTCCTGCTTAATAGGTGATTAAATACCAATTCAGAAAGTTTGAGTTTGCTATATGAACTAAAAGTGACTGTTACCTGTATTGCCGTAGAATTTGTTGCCTTTCTAAACCCCATTATAAGTTTCCCCTCAGGGTCCATACGGCTAAATGTTACTACAGAAATTTTAGAAAAAAAGTTAAAAAAGATTTGTAAGCAGATGTCAAGATGAAACTAAAATAAAAATAGAAGCAAGCAGAGGTTGACATTGAAACTTAGTAATTGTACTGAAATCAGTTGTTTTTCAATGAAGAGAACCAATCAAATAAATCCCCAAAAACATGAGCAACATTTTGTTACGTGGTGATGGTACTTTTACCAAGAAAAAGGTACTGGTACTTTATACTAGGAAAAAAAATCAGTGGAAGTTACACAAAACAAAATACATTAGGAAAGCAATAGTGGTTAGTATCTTAAAGCAGAATGTCTTTTAGGTATGGCTATTAACTAGTTAACAGAGTGAAAGAAAAATTAGCGAAGATTCTTAGAAAATGATATTGATTAGTCGCACCTTATTTTAGAAGACATGTAGTGAGTATAATCTTAGAAAATGAAAGTTTCGATTTGGTTGATCTATTCTAAGAATGGAAAATTTAACAAATTATGGGATTCTCAGTAAAATATACCAGTATCTCCAGCTTGCAATTGCATAGACTGAATGCAGGGGGTTACACCTTCTAAAACATACATCCTGCTGTTATTATTTGGCCAAAATCTAAATTGAAACATCCATTCTTTTCCTTTCACATCTTGGATTCGTAAAGGAAGGCCCTCTGGTTGAGAAATTGGAGGGAAATATGCCTGCACAATCATTAGTTCCAATAAATTATGAGACTCTTCATGAAAAATAACTTTTAGTGGATTATTTATTAATATAAAATGACAACTTAGACAGTTCAACAAATAGGTTAGGATAAATTACTTCAGCACATGCTTTTGGTAAAACCAGGCGACCAATTCGACCAGCATCACTTGCACTCAGCATCTTTTCGAAGAGTGGCACGATAGTGGAATTTGAACTTGAATATATCATGAATCATGGTTAAGGAAATGCTAAGGTAAAGATTAACTATCAAAACAATAATAATTTAATCCACCTGCATAATTTTCTTGCCGGTAATTAATAATTTATCAAACTAATTACAGTGTTGGATACTCTCCTGATATTTGTTGCAACTCTTGATCAGTAATTCTGGGCCAATAACGCGGAAGCAACTGATTCCTTCCCCGACCTTCAGCGGGTGGCCTTGCCACACGAATCTGGGATACCATACCAGCATTTACTTCTAGGCCTGTGCCACTGCTTGACCTAGGGGGCTTAGGTAAAAGATGGCGAGACCTTGATCCCAATAAAAGTGAAGATGTTTTACTTTGTTCCCTTTCATCAACAACAGAACTATGAAAGGGGTTTGAATTTCCTATGGGAGTAGCAAGGGTCATACTTAAATTAGTTTGTGCCAAAGATTCATATATATCTCGTATTTCTGTGTCTGCCTTACAGCTCTCTGCTTTGGAAGCCTTGGATGATCCATTAGACTCAAAATGAAATTGTGATATCAAAGTGCTTCCAAGTTCTCCAACAGAAGGCAAAATTTCTGGTTTCATTTCTGTAGAAGGCACATCTGTTTCAATTTTATGAGGTTTGAACCAGCATCGGAGACCATCATTTTCTGCATAATTCCCTCCTTGCATACCCCTCACGTTTAATTGGTTAGCCAGAGAAGTGCACTGCTGTGCACTGATATCTATTACCTTTGAAGTCCCCGATAAATTAGGCTTTTCATTGATTGCAATCTGTCAACAATTGTCAATTTTGAGAACATACAGTTAGACTTAAAAAGTATCAACACAAAATATACATCCAAGAAGCAAAACCTATTTATGGAAGCATAGATTTGAATTGCAGAGCTTGCATAACAAAGCTTTTATTTGTTCTCTAGATCATAGACCACTCAATTTACCTATAAAGGCTAATCAATAAATAATTTATCAACCTCGTGATGAAACAAGTTTCAGTCAAAATTAACCTTAAAATTAAGGTCTTCTATCCAACATTATATACATTGATACACTTGAGGGAGTTGTGAAAATCAATAAAGGAGCAATATTTTCATGTGTTTGCATAGTGGCGAACATAAATGGTAATTTAAATAAAATGGTGAAGTTATTTACAGGTTGAAGTCCTGAATTCCTTGCACAGCTTATACAGCTTACACCACCAGTATCTAATAATTCAAGCTGAGACATAGAAGCAATGCATCCACAATGGAGACGCTGCAGATAAAAGAACATATACGATGATTAAACTTAACATAGCACCTGGAAGTACCAGAATTAGGAAGCAAAAGGATATCCCAGTCTTATGTATACTGCGATTATGCACCAAAAATACAAAATACTTAAGCACTCTACCTTGTCACATGACGTGCATTCTCTCCAACCAGAATCGTTGGAATGGAAAGTATCACAATATGCTGATTGCTCATAAGCAGAACTACAGCAGAGAAAAAGAATCAGGAATAAGAATTTGTCCCCCAGTGAAGACCAATTCCAATAAAATAAAGGAAGGTTTGCAAACGTATTGATGCAAGCCAGTACTTAATCTAAAGGATACAAGTTATCAATATAACACTGTTTACAACTTATAGAGCTCAAATTTGAAAATGAAAATCTTAAGAGCAATTTTGTATGAAAAGTTGGTGAAATAAATTGGTGGAAGCATATGCATTAATTTCAATAATTTATTATGAAACTATCATATGATGTGATCTTATATTGGGCACCGTTCAAATTCAAGATGATGTTTTACAATAAATTTTCAGCTAGATGGAATCCTAGTTCCACTGCATCTCACACAGCTTTTTATTCGGACATTCCATACTTATACAACTAATATGTTTTTCTTTACTTTTAATTTTTTGATCCCATTTTTGGGGAAACTTATGCTACGTCGCATCTTTCAAGCAAAAAACTTTGGTCATTTAATAAAAGAAGTACGGAAATTTAACACAGTAAATCATAAACACATCCCATAAAGAACGTCATGACTTGTAGTCCCTGGTCAGCAGCAGCAACTAAGATTCGGAGACCCAATTTTACCTACGACAACTTCATCCACTCATCGCGCAATTTAAGTAAAATAAAAAATAAAAACATAAAACCGTGTAAATGCCACTGCACTAACTTTAGAAAATCGGAAGGCCCAAGAAGAAAAAAGGTAGCCACTAGTCAAAACTTAGACTATGAAAAAATTAAATTTTCAACATCAAACTAAACTTAAAAGCAAAAAATAAAATAAAATAAAAATAGGAAAAAAGACCAGAACAACAACCAATTAAAACCATCAAAGCCACAAATCACAGATTACTCCAAAGTTCTAATCCACTGTTGTGTTCCGTACAACCTCATATCAACTCAAGCGTTAATTTCAACACACGCGAACTGATCGATTCGAAATCTAGAGTATCATTACCCGCACTTATCACAGAGATCGGCGAATTCGCCGGATCGCAGGGCCCAGCCTTTGCGCCACCGAATCGTCGTCAAGGTGGCGCACGTCACGTTCATGCAGCTCCTTGACTCCATTTTCAACTCCAATTCCACGCGCTCTGAAGCACACAACAAAAACCCGAAAAATAAAAAACAAAAACCCTAACTGTCACCTCACCAAGTCACTCGACGTCGGACGCAAAATCCGGCGACGTAGACCATACCGTACCGAAATTAAGCCTCCGAGCGAACCTCTAGTGGCCGCTCCGCGTCGCCGAAAGTTCGTAAGTAGAAGTTCCGGTCACCGGAAGTCTCTACGAAGTGCGGGCGCCGCGAGTGATGAGGTTTAGGATTCGCATTCGCGTGGAAGAGCGGTGGCGAGTGTGATCGGAAGGTTGTTGGACTCTGAACAGAGGAGAGGAACCGGAGAGAGATTTGAATGGACGGTAACCGGAGAGAGAATATAAGAGAATAAGAGAGGGTGAAACAGAGAGAGAGAGAGAAAGGAGGCGTGTGCATGCAGAATAAGAAAGAAGAAAGAAAGAGGCACCAAAATGCATGCACGATGATTATACTTCAAGACTCGGCCAACTCCCCACTTGCTTTCTTTTTTTTTTATTTTTAATTTATCATCATTATTAGAATTATTATTCTTTTTGTTACTTTTATTATTATCAATATCATTGTGGTTGGTTAGTTACTGTTAGTCATTATTTTCCTGTATCTTTCTTTTTGTCAGATAATCTTTATATATTAACTGAATATTCTTCGGTGTAAACATTTTCTATTTTTTAGTTTTTATCAGGGTTAACATTTTTAATTATCAACTAATTTTGAATTCGTGTTTACAGATATTTTTTATATTTTTTATATTAATAAATAAAATCATATTAAAAAATATTTAAATATATAAAAGTTGAGGAAAAATATAAAATTTTTAAATTTATGATTAAATTTTGAATATAATCTTAAAAATTATTTATAATTTTAGAAAGTTAATATATATGTGTGTGTGAGTGTTGTGTGTGTAAAAATATATAATGTTAATTTTGTCTAATGTGTATTACAAGACACTCTAATTAGAGAATGGATAGAGATGTCTAATGTGTATTAATATATTAGTATAATATGTTTATAAACAGAAATGTTAACGTATATTGTTAGACTCATTTAATCAGTCTATGAACAAACACATGTGTATTGTAAGATTCGTTAATCAGTGTATGGATATACTCACCTAATATGTAGTCTTAAACTCATTTAATTAATGCAGACCTGTTTTATGTTTTATGCACTGTATAATTAGTGCATAAATAGACTAGTTTGATGTGTATTGTTAAACTAGCTTGATTAACGTGTGAACAAACTCGTTTAATGTATATTCCAAGATTCATCTAATAAGTGAATGAACATAATCCTCTAATGTATATTAATAGACTTGTCTAATCTGTGTATGAAAAAGTTTGTCTAATGTATAATATTAGACTCGTATAATCAATATATGAATGACCTGTTTAATATGTATTGTTAGACTGTTCTAATCAATTCATTGACAACTTATATAATCAAAATATTCCTAAACTCATAATCATCGTATGAATTGACTCGTCTAATATATTTTTGTTATACTATTAATTAGTGTATTTGTAGTCTCGTTTAATATGAATTGTTAAACTCATGTAATACTTTTTGTAATACTTGTCTAATAAGTGTATGAAAAGACTTGTTTGATGTGTATATCTAGACTCGTCTAATCAATATATTGATAAACTCTTCTAATATGTATTGTTAGATTTGTCTTATAAGTATATGGACACACGCGTATAATGTGTACGACTAGACTTGTTTAAATTGTATATGTTCAAATTCATTTAATGTGTATTGCAAGACTCGTCTAATCAATGAGTGAACAAACTCGTTTAATGTGTATTAATAGACTTGTCTAATCTGTTTATGAAAAGACTTGTGTAATTTATTTATGTAAACTCATCTATCAATGTATGGACAAACTGGTATAGTGTTTGTTGATAGACTCATTTAATCAATGTATGAACAAACTTGTTTAATCAGTATTCTTAGACTCATCTAATCAATGTATGAAATGACACATCTAATGATTTTTGTTAATCTCGTTTAATTAGGGTATGGGCAAAGTTGTCTAATAAGTGTTTCTTCATATTTGTCTAAAGGGTATTGCAAGACTCATCTAATTAGTAGATGGACAAACTTGTATTGTATTAATAGACTGGTTCAATTTGTATCTAGATAGACTTGTTTGATGTATATTGATAAGGTCATCTTATCAATGTATGTTGTTGGTAGACTCGTTTAATCACTATTTGGACAAACTTCTCCAATGAGTATTCCTAGACTTGTGTAATCAGTGTGTGAAATGTCTCATTCAATAGTTTTTACTATACTTGTCTATTGATTGTATGGACAAACTCATTTAATGTGTATTATTAGACTTGTTTAATAAGTGCATCGATAAACCCATTTGATATTCTTTATTATATTTGTTTAATCAATAAATAGAATGACTGGTCTAAATGTTTTGCTATACTCGTCTAATCAGAATGTGGACAAACTCATCTAATGTATATTTTAAATATTTGAAATAAAATATTAAATACAATCGTAGTTTGAAATTATGTAAAAATGATTATGATTAGTATAATTATTTATTAGGTAATATCAATTTAAAGTTTACATAAAGAATCTTCAATGATAAAAATATCTATAGTATAACTTAATATAAATATATTTTATTGTTGATATTTTTTTTAAGATAAAATTATTATTATTTTTTTAAAATGATAGTATTTACAAAATAAAATAAAATTATATTTTTTAAATTTTACTTTATTAAGTGACTAAGTAATAAAATACTATAAAAAAAATTAATATACAAATATAATTAATATCATAAAAATATCAATTGACAATTGAGACAAAATAAACATGGATAAGAAGGTAACTTTGCTAGTATTTTATTTTATTATTTATAATAGATAATAGATATTAGTTTAATTTTTGCATAATAGATAATTGATTAATAAAATAATTTCATGTTAGCAAAATAAATATAAATAAAAAATTAGTTTAAAAATAAAAGAAATGGGATAGAAAGGTAGAATAAATTTTATATACATATGACAGTAAAATAAATAAAAATTAAAAAATAAAATAAATAAAATAACTTTCATACACATAACAACAAAATAAATATAAATAAAAAAGGATTAAATATGTTTTTAGTCCCTTAACTTTCAACCAAAATTGGAATTAGATCCTCTTTAAAACTTTGGCCTAACTTAGTCCTCAGAAATATGTGAATTTAGTCCTTTTAACTAAATTTTGTTAGGTTTATTTGATGTTTTAAATGCATTTCATGATAGCATTTGAGTTGTTTACACCGTTTGACATATATTTTTGCTTCAATGTTCACTAAAAAAATGCGTTTGAAACATCAAATAAAGTTAATAAAATTTGGTTAAAAGGACTAAATTCACACATTTCTAAAGTTTGGGACTAAATTAGTCAAAAATTTTGAAGAGGGACTAATTCCAATTTTCATGAAAGTTAAGTGACAAAAACATATTTAACCCAATAAAAAAAATAAAAAATGTCAAATAACTAAAAAACTATTTTTAGAATACTTATTTATCAACAAAATAAAATGGACATTAAAGTAAATTGTTTAGTGTCTTTCTTTTCTTATGTTATAATATATAAATAATAGGTAAGGATGTTTCTTTTTAATTTTTTTTAAATAAGAATAACTATTCCCTTAACAAAAATAAAATTAAAATTATCATTTTCCTTGTTTACTTTAAGAAATTTAAACAGTAAATAATGTATTTTATATTTATTTAAATTTTATTTCTAAAACTAAGATTATAAAGCAAATAGTTTAATAATAAAAAAAATCCTCTATTTCATATACATCCTAAATTGTTGAGTGTGTTTTTTTTATTTTTCTTAAAAAAAATCGAAATGGTTGTTTTTTATTTTTTTAAATTAAAAATTATTAGTGAAAAACTGATTATTTTAGGTTTAATGTCTCCGTAGGTCCCTATTTTGGTCATGAATTTCAAATAGGTCCTCGT